ATACTAAAAGTAGTATTCCCAAAACCCAACCAAACGAAGCCCTTATTTTCGATGTTCCACTGGTTTGTGTAAATTTATCAATTAATTACTTTAAATATAATACTTGGCTAAAATATAGGAAAAAAAGTAAAATATCTGAACATTTGGTTTTATTAACCAAACACAGTAATTAATTATACCCAGTAATCATCTAAAGGATATTTTAGTAAAAGGTAATCAAGACATATGTTATTATTACCAACCAAACAGATTAATTATTAATACAAGTAATCAGTCAAAGGGCATTCTAGTAAAATGTTATTTCAGGACGTCTATCATTACTATCAACTAAACACATTAATTATTAATACACCCCAATTGAACCAAATACAATAATAATTTAAACCTAGTAATCTATAACGTAATCTATCTTTTTGGTAATCCTATTATTAAAATAAAAAAATTATATGAACCAAACGCATCCTTGAGTTTAGTATTATGGTTACTAAGTAAAATCAAATATAATTGTAGAAATTTAAGGGGAAGTATTATGGACACATGGCATTGTGGTGGCTTTCCACCACATTAACTTAACCCTTAAGTTTAGTATTTCTTATGCCATACAAATGGCATTAGGAAATTGTAGATGAAATGATTAAGGGACATGTGTCCCAAGTGTTTGGTTATCTAAAAGGTTTTGGGCGGTTATTCAACTTATTCATGGCTATATATTGTAAGCATAGTGAAATACTGAGATGTATCTATATTCGGGAAATCTGTGAGTTTGTTACAAGCCATTCTCATACACTATCTTTAAGACCCATATCTCTGATCTCTCTCACTTTGGTACCTATCTCTTTTCTTTGATTAACTTAATCTCTTGCCCTGGTTTAATTGTTATATAAAATTTTCAAAATAGTAGTTCGGTTTAAAAAAGGTTTTGTAAAAGAAAATTTAATTACGTCTATTTATATAATTTCAATTCATTATACGATTATAAGTAAAGTGTATTGTTAACAACAGAGATATAGCTAGGATTCTGAGTTAGTGGGTTCAAAACATCAAAGTTGGTAAATTTACAATAAAATATATACTGAAGTAATAAGCATAAAAAATGTACTTTTAAAAGTTATATATACCAAATTATCAATTCTACAATTGTTCTCGACGATTTTTTATATTCTGAAAACGTTACATAATTGCTTCATTGACAATTCCATCAAATATCTCTCTGTTAATATATGTAATAAGACAATCATTTAACAATTGATCTCTCATTCGATTCTATAGTCGATTTTTCAAAATCTTCATCGTAGAAAATGCTCTTTCAACACTTGCAGTTGCAACAGGTAATATCAATGTTAATTTCATGTCTAAAAAGATAACAATACAAACAAAAACACTCTCCTTTTCTACACTATACTCCAACCAATTTGTATATCAATAATCATATTTTTACAAAGATATCCATACAAAGTGAGGTGGTAAAAAATGAATGGAAGAGTGAAACAAAAAGTCAAACTCATTAAATTCACTCTTTCATTCATTTTTTGTCACATCACTTTATATAGAGATCTTTGTAAAATTTCTTTGTAAGTGTAATATTACTCTTTGTATATTCTCTAAACCAAACGGGATTAAAACGACGCATTAAATTCTCAATTGCTCATTTTTTAAAATTATGATTATGTGGTTGGCAATGCCTTTTTTGCAAGTATGTCTTTCTCACTTTGTCTCTATCATTAGATATTCTAAAATTTTAATCCTCAATCCAAGATTTGTAGGAAGACTACTCAAGTTAAACTTAACATATATTTTATCTTAAACTAGATTCTATAGGCTCATTGTGAACACTATCGTGACGCCTTTTATTTTGTTCAATTAATGATTCATCATTAGAAAACTTTTTTTTGATCAAAAACTTGTCCATAACTAAAAAAATAAAAGAATTTTTACTATCACAAATATAATTTATTTGCAATTACAATTAAAAAACAACACAAATTTATCAAAATTTAACTCATAACTTAGGTTTTTCAAACAATTTCTACCAACCCAGTAAAATTCAACTCATAAACCCATAAAAACTCATCAAATCTAACTCTAAATATCAAGCAATTAACCAATATATCAAAATTAAACCAAATCCCCAAATCTCTATAACTTAGGGTTATACCAATTCTTTAAACCATATTCAAAATTAATTCAATAACTAACTACAATTTATCAAGCCTAACTTAAAACCGCAATTAATTAACTCATACCTCAACATAAACAAGATTAAATCAAAATTTACATCAAAATCTAAGAATTATTTCAAACTCATTTATTAAACTCAACAAAAAACCCGTAAATCATTATCTTTCATTAATTAAGAAAGCTAAAAGAAAAGAATTAATTTTAAGTAAAAAAATAAAAATAAAATTAGTATCATCTTACCTTGTAATCCAAAATAGTAGCATTTTTTGAGTATCCAACCAAAGAAAAAATATAATAGGAGAGCAAAAAAAAGAAATAAAGAAAAAAGAAAAGTTTAAAAAGTATTAATTAATAATTTATTTTGTGGTGTCAACATGAAGTTAAGTGAGATTAAAATTATAAAATCTATAAACTATTAATACTTTTTTAAAATTTTGAAAAATTCAATGGGTTCGATTGAACCCACGAGCCACTATGTGGCCATGTGCCTGGTTAACAGTGAGGCTTACTTAACAATTCAATGGTGCTTGAATAATCTACTCTGTTTAAGCCTACTAAACTTAGGGTTTATTTCATTTACACCCAAGTGGGGTTGATTATATTAAGGTTGATTAACTTAAGGTAATCTACTTCGTGAGAACGTATATTTTAGGTTTTCATCTAATTTTAAATTCAAAAGTATGTCTTATCTCTCCCATCGCTTATCAACTTAAAGCAATTTCCTTTTTGTTTCTCATTAGTCATTATTCTTAAAAATCATTTAAAAATCATTAAAATGTTAGAATAGTTTCCACATTATTTATTATTTATTTATAAATTTTATTTTAATTATTTTGGAGGAAAAGATTTATTATTAAAATACCATTATTTTTATTTTGTCTTAATTATAATTATTTTAAGGTTGATTATAGTTTTTTTGCCTTTGTTTATTTCATAATATAACTTTCAAAACATTTTATTTCAAAAAAATTGTTTTAAATAAACATTAATTTTTACATATTTGATTAAATTCATGTATCTTAACCAAATTTATTTTTTAATTTCAAATTTTTTAATTTTTTTTAATCAAATGTTTGTTTAGATTTGTCATGTAAATGTGTAACCTTGAAAAATGTAATGTAAGTTCATGGTCGATTTTGTGCGTTTTGATATTTGAGTGCAGGATTTAAGAAATTGTTTTAAGACTTTTGAATTTAATATTTGGATGAAACCCTAATATATCACTCGTAGTAGAAGTGTTTTTAATACTTTTTGAACTAATCGATCTCACAAGGGTATAACTGAAATAAACCCACAAAACTTAAGCTAATCTAATTCCTTGATGTAAAGCTATGTATGAAGATTGTTTTTCATTTTTTTTTTTTTTTTTAATTTGAATATCTGAAATTGTGTTTTAAGTAAGAATAAGAGTGAAATACAAAAAACATGAATGAATATTAGGAATAGGAAGTGTTTATATTCTTATAAGAACAAAATAAAATTTTAACACTTTTAAATGAAATGCAATACGAAGTATGAGTTCTTTAAGTCGGTCACAGCGGAGGTCAATAAAGCCATTTTATACCAAAATCCTAGAGAAGATAATGGTGGAAGCCCAACCCACAAGATACAGTTGCTCCGGATTTCAATTCTAGCTAGAAATTCCATGCATAGTCGGATCTCTAAAGCTTTTATGTATATCAAAGCATGATTAATTGGGTTTATTTTGTATCCAAATAGCTTATTTAAAATTATACATATTTTTAAAAAAAATTAAAGTTATTTTCAAAACTACTTGTAACATTTTAAATAAGTTATTTTACGATTTACAGAAGAAGATAAATCTCAAGCTTCTTCTATAAACTCTTTTCGAGCTTATTTAAAGTTTTTAAAATATTTCTATTATATTTTATAAATTTGACTTAATCTAATCTCATTTATTAAAACCTTTTTGGTAATTTACACTAAAAATTTATTTCACATTTTCTCAATTAATAACTTAAATTTTTTTCATAAAAGTTTATATTTTCATAAACTCTACTCGAATGAGTTCGTATCAAACTGATTTCTTTTTTTCATTTTCATACATAGTTTGGTTATGTCTAAATTAAAAATTAACAAAAAGACCTTTGAAATAAATAGTTAATCAATTGACATATGTAGAACCCTAAGATCTTTGGTGTCTTAATCTTTAAAATGGTCAATGTGAAAGTCATTAAATGATATAATTTTGTGTTTTTAATAATTTATAAAGAAAAAGAAGGTAAGAGTTTTCTCTTTTATCAATATTTTTATATCTTATCTCGTATTTTGAGAGCTTGGTTATGGATCAGAATAATTTGTATTGGTCTTATTTGAAACAACAAAAACAGAATCGTATATATAAACTCTGAAAATTAAAAGTTAATCCGATCTAAAGAAATAAATGGCAATGTTCAACTAGTATTCTTCTCCTGTGGATTCTTGAATTCTTCTCCCAATTCGTATCTTTCCCCTCTCGAATTCCTCAACACAAAAAAAAAAAAACAATCTTTCTTGCCAAAAACATTTCGAAACTCTACACAAAATACCAAATCTTCATCAAATCCTTACAAAGAAGTAAATAAAATTATAAAAAAGAATCAGAAATTGAGAAAATAAAAAATTAATCCGATCTAAATAATTAAAAGGAATAAATACAAAGAAATACATGGCAATCAATCTTTCTAGTATTCTATTTACATTATTCTTCTCCCTTTACACAAATTTTCCTTTCCTTTCTTTCGCCTCTCGAATCCCTCAACCGAAACAATCTTCTTTCCCCAAAATCGTTTCGGAACTTTACACAAAACCCCATTTCTTCCTCAAATCCTTACAAAGAAAATGCTTAATTCCGGCCCAGAAATATTCCCATCTGGACATTGCATATAATAAGTCTCCGAATCTTTCGACCCAACCACTCGCTCAAATTGCGCCCTCATGTACGCCAATTCCCCATCTGGATGCTCGTTTCCATCCGTCGGCAAAACGCCGGCCCCCATTGACACCGCATGCAGCGTTTGCATGAACCCTAAATCCTCCTCAGTCGGCTCCCTCTTCACCCCATACCCTGATTTTCTTCCATTGCAATACATCGTCCATATCGGCTCGTCGATGATCTTCGTCTTGTCGTTCTGCTTCTTTTCAGTCTCGAGGGCTATCCTAACCATCCCGGATCCCATATCCTGCAGGAACTTTCCGGTCGGAATCGCTAGCTCGAGGACGAGGAGGGGGAGGACTCTTGGGTTTTCTTGGATAACTAGGTTAACTCTAGCTTTCCGGTACCCGAAGATGGTTCCAGTTATGCGGGTCCCGTGAATGTGGCCCTCGTGGAGGCGGGTCCCGTTGAGTGAGACGGGAATCTTGCATGTTGGGACGATGATCGGGAAGGATCGGAAAACGGAGCGAAACCGTCGCATGACCTTTTTGGAGGTGGATAACTCTCGTTTTTTCGAGGGTTGGAGGGAGAATAAAGGCACATTCGGGGATTGTGGGCTAGGTGTTGCCGGTTGTGCGATGGCGTTAAGCGGCGTAGACACGAAGAGCGGCCGCCGGGAAGTTGGTGTTGTTGTCATGGTGCGCAGGTTTTAGCTCACTGTTGTGCTTAATTAGAGAGCTCGGGAGGATTTAATATGATGTTGAAATGATCGCTTCAAGTTTAATGCTTAATAAATAAATAAATATATATATATATATATATATATATATATATGAAGGGAGAAATTAAGTTGTGGAATGCACGTTGAAGTGGATTTGTTTTGATTATTATAATTAAGATTAATTATTTAAGTTAATGTGACTGTCAATCTTGTTTTTAATTAACTAATTAGCTAAAGATAGTTAGTTGATAATTAAATATGGTTTATGGATAACTCTAATGTTGCTATTTCTACCTCTAATAAAAGTGATAGTTGCCATAAAAATAATAAAGCAAATGAAAAATAATTATCTCTAATTAATAGCAGAACTAGAATAAACTCACAATTAACAGGTATTTCTCCTATTTGAAAAATCTTATAAACCAGCTTTAAAATGAAATGACATTCTTGCCCTTTATGACGTAATACTTGTTTGTCAATATTCAATGTATCCCTAGGTTATTTGTGTCTATTTCTCAAATATTGATGTATTATAATATGATTTGATGACGTCAAACAACAGTATTATTACATCAACTTATAAAGAATAGTTTGTACATATAATACTACTCAATTTATTTAAGATATACAAAACTATCGTCGGTTTTTTCTTCTAAGAAGGATCACTATAAGAAAATAACCTAACACTACTTAGTTCATCTATGAAATACTTAACTAATTAAGCGTCCACCAGTTCTTTCTTCTAACAATGATCACCAATAGATTACCAGTACATAATTCATCTATCATTTATTAAACTCTCGTAAAGATACTGATAGTATTTGATCATCATTGATTCTTTCTTCTACAAGAAAATAAGCTGGGTAGAATATGCTAATTTCAGTTGTAATCAAACTTAAAATCTGGAAATGGATAAATTATAGATACTTAATTTGTTTACACTATAATTAGAATTATTGATAGTCCCATTTCGTTGAGTGGATTTTGAGGATCTTGAAGCTTGCAAGAGAATCCAATTAATTAAATTTACACACGGTTTAGCACATCATCTAAGAATTTGGTCAAACATATCCAGTACAATGAATCTTTGATGTAGTGGTCTTAGTCATTTCATCAAAGTTATGGAGCTTAACGGTGAAGAGGGATCGGAGTTTGTTTATTTATTTAAGCATTTGTCATTGCCACCAGTGTAACATATAAACCTTTGATGCGATGAAGAGTCTGCTACAATACTGTCAGAACCCGAAGAAATTCAAGTTGGGTAATCTTTTTTTTTTTTTTTTTTTTTGAAGTATAAAAAAAAAAAAAAAAAAAATTCATCGATTTTGTTGATGCGAGGAAATAATTTAAATAATAAATTTTATCACTTAAAATGCATTATTGAAAAAGAAGGTAAATGAAGAAAATACTCTCTAACTTTATTATAATTTTTTTTTAAAATAAATAAATACAAAAACGTTTTAAAGTAATTCAAGAATTAGGAAACAGAGGAATAGAGACATGAAAATAAGATAAAAGAGATGTAGCATGAATTCTAATCAAAAAGAGTTGAGAAGATAGATAATCAAGATTATAAATTAGGAGAAGTAATATTTTTTTGTATGAAAATTAAAACAAAAAAAAAGCCATCTTGAATAATTTTTGTGTGTGTGTGTCTATATATATAGTGGTTTTTGCATAAGAAAACTAGGAAATTTGGGTAAAATAATTAATGAGATTTGACTAGAATGAAAATTAATAATTTTTATTTAAGAAAACCTTTAAAATTATTACTATTCAAGTTTATATTTTTGAAGAGTTGACAAAAATAGTTTATTTAAAGTGTAAATATTTTGCAGCTCGACCAAAAAAACATGCATTTGTCTCTCATTTGTGCTCTTTAAGAAACAAAAAGTCGTGTAAAGGAAAAGGTGATATTATAGAAATTTGATTTGACCTTTAACTAATATAATAAAATGAAATTATATATTATTTGAGTAAATTGAATCGACATTAAATTAAAATTACAATTAAAAAGAAAATAGAGGAAAGGAATGTTGTGTTGACTGATGTCACTCTCTTTTTGATTAATTTAAAGAAAATCTTAAAGTCAAATGGCTCTTTAATTTAAAATAAAATACAAGGTTTCTTGAAAGGTTGCAAGAACCCTGAATCACTAGTTTTAGTGTGAGAGAAAAAAAAAATTGTGCAAGTAAATATATTATATTTTAGTAGCAAGAGTAGAATTTTAAAAGAATTAGAGAGGATATATTATTAATTAAATTAAAAAAAATGGGATATTCATAATTTTCTCAATCTCAACACACAACGTGACACCAATGACTCTTCTTAGCATATATTTTTAAATGTCAATGTGATATGGGATGATATGTCAATTTAACATGTTTCCACGAAGGCATGGCAAAAATACATTTTTACCCACATTCTAGTTTTTGTTTCTCTAAATATTTATATAAAAAAAAAAAAGTTATTTTAAAATATAAGTATATATAAAATTTTATCATTTATCATCAAAAAAAAAAAAAAAATGTAAAATAATTGTTAATCCGAGATGAATATAAAGTTATATATAAAATAATACTATATATACAAACAAATCCTTTCATCTTCTTAACTTTTAAAACTTTGAAATTTTTTCTCATATTATTATATTGATTATTGCATATGTGTATAGTTATTTTGCAAGTTGTTTCCATATCTACGATAAACAATAAATTGTTTTAATTTTTTAATCATAAACTTTAATTTGATTCAGAAACATATTCAACCCTATTTTGGAATCTCAAAGTATAAGACTTATTATATTATTTTTCTTAAGGGCCTTTAATTAAAAGTGTGCTAATTAAATTCTTGCATACAAAATCTAATAATGTTAAAATACATGGAGACATGTTGTAAATACTTTTGAAGAGCAGAGATTTAGTATTTTAATTAAAACTCAAATACCTTTACTAATTATTCATGACAATTTTTTAAATGTAAGTATTCAAAAGCTTTTTCTAAAATGTGAAATTATTTATTATAATATTGTATTACTCTTCAATTAATAGTACTTTATAGTTTATATACATATTATCTAAAAACCTTTTAAATAAGAAATCTATCAATCTAAAAGTGGTAGGTGATTTTTTTTATTATAAAGAGCACATTATAAAAAAGTATCAAATTCAGGTATGTATATTTAAAGAGTTCTCTAGTTTAGAGTTAACAGAAAAAAAAAAAATATTTAAAATGTAAATAATGTGCAATTCGACCAATAAACATTGATAGCCTCTGATTTATCAAATAATAAAAATTTGACCTGACCTTAACACATATAATAAAGTGAAATTAGATGTTATTTAAAAATATAATAAAATGACATTAAATTTGGGTTTAATTAGTTAGAATTAAAAAAAAAAAAAAATTTAAGCATAAAGGCATGTAGTTTTGACTTATGTCACTTTCTTTTAATTAATTTAAAGGAGATCCTAAAGTCAATGTCTGCCACAATTAAATAATTTCAACAAAAATAAAAATATTTTTATTTTTATTTTTAAAGATTGCAAGCAAGAACCCTTTTGCGCCGGTGCTTACTGCTTGTGAATAGGAATCTAAATACTGTATGGGAAATGCTACTCTTATAAAAAAGAATACAATGACAAACATACAAACAAATTTTATTCTTAATCTTTATGATTATATTTCTTTCTCTCTCTTTTTCTCTTCTTTTAAGGGCAAGATTTATCTTTGTATGTTTGTTTTTGTATTCCTCTTTGTAAGACTAGCATTTCTCATACTGTATATGAGGAATTAATTAATCTCTTTATTATTACTTTTTTAATATGGGATATTTATAATTTTCTTAATCTAAAAAGCGTGACACCGATGATTCTTCTTACAGTAATGCTAGATTTACCGACCTAATTACCGACTTTGACATATCGACCCAACTACCCAAATCTCAAAATTTGACTCAATTCACATGAGTCGGTATGTCAAATCGGTAGTTGGGTCGGTAAATTTAGCATTACTGTTCTTCTTAGCATTGATTTTTAAATGTTAGTGTGATATGTTTCTGTATTATAAATATTAATTTTACAATAACCGTTTGCCACCTCGCTTGTGAAATAGACACGTGGCCCATGCATCCTATTTGAAGACAGTTGTATTGTCTTTTTTTTTTTTTTTTTTAATTTAAGATGTCATTTATCCTTCGAGACCTTAAAATAAATGATCAAATAAATTTCATATGTGATCACCTTTATTAGTGTTTGGAAGAACTCAAACTCAAGAATCTATATTAAATCCCTTTTACTCTTTGGTTTACCAATGTTTTGTTTTGACAATAGAGAAACTGAGCCATTTCATTGATTCGTGGTGTTTCCTTTTTACTCTCTTTATTCTGTTTTTTTTTTTTTTTTTACTTTTCAGTCTTTTATTTATTTTATTACAATTACACCACTAAATTATAGCAAATAGGACAAGTGTTAATTTCTAAATATTACTCAAAGATTTTATTTTAGTACTAGTTTATACCAAAATTATTGTTAGTTATCATTTTATCCTTCCATTCTTTGAAGAATGAATAATGTCTAAAATAACTGTTAATTGGAGGTTAAATATTTGATTATTTTCAGTTTTATTTATTATTGTTTAAAAATATATAATTAAATAATGTAACATATCTTTAATAAGTATTTCTTAAATATAATTGAGTAATCGAGGGTTTTATGAGAAATCAATTTTCAACCAATCCAAAAGAATTTATCACAGTATTATTCTTAAGCTAAAGCATAATCATTGTGGACAAGTCAACAAAAAATAACAAGGTAATAAATAACAATATCGTAACCAATTTTCTACATCCAAAATATACAAAATTTATTTTTAACTTGAAAAAGTATTTTTATATTCAATAAAAATAGATTGACAAATCCTTCTCACTAACTTTCTCTCACAAAAGCGACACGACAATTCGTAATTGATAAGATGAAACTCATTGTTGAGCACGTGAGACTCATTGTAAGCTGATCAATTACAAATTAATTGTCACATCGTATTTGTAAGAAAAAGTTAGTAAGAATAGTTTGTGAACGTAATATTATTCTTTTATATTTTACAGGTAAAATTGATTTAGTCGGAATATGGCTACGTGTCCAACACCAAAACCTCATTACCAAGAAAATTTTATCCTCATTGTCTGAAGTGCCCATCGCCAAATAAGCCGATCTTTAATCAACAATGGCTAGACCTCACCATTGCTGAAAGGCAATTAGAAGGAAAAAAAGATACTAACAACAGTAAAACTTGAACTTATAGTAGATTAGTAGTCATATGTCAGTAAGTCGAAAACTCATAATTTTCCTTTTAAGGATTTTCTCCTTGGAATACAAATTCTCAGTCTCGATATAGATAATGTTACATCCATAACCTCTTCTCACAATCCCGATGTGATAATTGGTAATTAATCAACTCATAATAAGTCTCACCTGATAAATTACAGTTGATTAATTGCGAGTTGTTATGTCAAAGTTACGAGAGAAAATTTATAATAAAAGATTATAAATGTAACATTATTCCTATAAATAATGCTTTGGAGGCATTCAACGAAGAGAATGCCAAAGGATTTCACCATTCACATTGGGACGCCTTAATCATCAATGCCTTACTTTAGTCTTCAACAAACCTCTTCGTTAAATCTTTGTATTAACTCCTCTTCACGAAAAAATAACAAAATAATTCAAAAAAAAAAAAAATAATTGAAAATTAATGATCTAGCACCTCTACAAGAAATGTCAAAATCCCCCATGAATTCATGGATTCTGATGTGAAAATTTTATTGCAATAGAAACGTGAGTCCAAGTCTCTTGTGAGAAAATTGACGAAAGGGTCCTCTTCAATTGGCAAAAAAAATGCAAAGACCAGAGTAAAACAACTTTCATTAAGAAATAGAAAACATATAAAAGCCACAAAGTGGACAAGTTTCAGAATAAGTGTCCATGGAGATTCAACTTATATGTAACTCAATTACTACTAAAATAATCTGCTTTACAATCAAACACAACACAATTACATACATAATTTTACTTTGTCAAGTCGTGTAATTATAACCTAATATAAATATCAATCAAAACTGAGCTGAGCTGATGCAGCTTGAATCCTCAGACCTAGAATATGTACATATACGTTTAGAGTCCAGAACAAAGTTCAGATTATTTCTTCCCATATTATGGCATCTTTCACTCATTTTCTGCAGGTTGTTTTCCAAGAAGATTGACAGCTTTCATGTGTTTGCAGCAGGGGTTTTCAAGAAATCTTCCCAGCGCTATGTGTTGGTGTTTCTAACTAAGCATTGGAACTTCAGCATCACGGCCTTCACTTGCCAACACGGCCCGACAGAAATGACGAATGTGCGGCCGATTGGAGTGGTCGTCTTGTGATCCTGCTCCCCGTTTCTAACTAAGTATTGGAACTTCAGCCACGCTCATTACTTCTTGCTTCAGATTTATTTCTGCTGCAACAGAGGTGCCTTGTACGTTCACGTCCATCTTACTGAACATGAGATTTGCAATGGTTCTGTCAACAACATTGGTTTCTGATTCCATTGCTTGCTTTTCCGTAGACCTGATCATTTAACCCATGTTTTCAGTAAAACACTTTTAGACACACTAATCCTCATAGAACCGAACCAAATGACAAATAATTAAAATAAATTAAATTTGTCTTTAACAACATACACATTCTTTGAATCACTGGTCTACTCTCAAATATCTAAGGAGAGACAGGATATCAGGTGACCTCCTAACCTAAATTTATTTTGTGCCAGCAAATGCAAAACTTCTACTAAACCTATAGACGCTTCTTTATCACTTAGTTGATCTTTGATACCACAAGAACTCGATTTATCACATAGTTGTTCTGTCAATGACATTGATTTCTGATTCCATTGCTTGCTTTTCCCTAGACCTGGTCATTTAACCCACGATTTCACTGAAACACAAACACTCTGATCTTCATAGACTCAAATGACAAATAATTAAAACAAATAAAATTGTCTTTAACAACTGACACATTCGTTGAACACTGGTCCACAGTCAAACATCTAAGGAGAGACAGGATATCAGGTTACCTCCTAACCTAAATTTATTTTGTGCTGGCAAATGCAAAACTTCTACTAAACCCAAAGAGAATATAATTGTTTGTCCATATATATATATATATATGCATCTTTATCACTTAGTTGATCTTTGATACTACACGAGAACTTGATTTATGTCAGAGTGGAGATAAGATATACAGGGTAAAGCAAAATTTGCCTTAAAACAGGTCCTTGTATAAGATCTTTTGGACTCCCATACATATGAAAAAAATATTAAGGGCTATTTGGAATCCTGTCCTGTATATGCAGAGCAATTTCAGGGAGTACTTGAGTTGGAAATGCCCAAGTAATGACAGATATTGGCTCAAGAAACATATGACTGGCTTGTTGCCATTGCATGAAGTGACAAGCGGGCTTTTGATCACTGTTCAAGTTTTGACTCAAATATACATCCATTGAAATGTATTAAAATAACTTCATCAAAAAGGAATTAATACCACAAAACCTAATAAGATGACACAAAGTAAAAATTATAAGTGCACACAAATTACCTCATGTGTGTATCATGAGTTGCCCCAAGGGGAGTTTCTGCAGTAGAGTCACCACTCTGCCGCAATATTATCACATGTTGTTTTGAGCTCTCAGCAAGCCGGTACAAGGCATCACGAAAGAAAATTCGTGTGTTATCAGTCATCTGATCATATTAAAATACAGAAAAATTAGCAACTATAATCTTAATATTATAAAATATTATGTCAATGTGATTGACAAGCTTCTGAATTCCTAGTCATTTCACCTGTTCCATCACCACTCTGAGCTCCTGCAGCACAGATTCTTCAAGTGATGTTTCATCAGCAACAAGTTCATTTGCAGTGTTCTCCTCTGAAGGAACTTGGCGCCTGACCACCGGTGCCTTTTAACAAAAAATACCATGATAAGTTCTAGAAAAATATCAAATCACATTACAGCAACAAGGACATGAGGTCATTCTATAACCTTTTCTGCATGTATATTTGTCGTCAGTCTATGTGTGTGTGTATTGTGTGGCGGAGTACACACACTTCAACCCACATGTTTGTGTCTGTGTGCCTCTATAATACTCTTAAGATTTTTATAATGAGGGCCCCCTTGGAAATAAGTTATTGCCTCCCTCTACTCCCATGCGTCAATGTTCATGCAGCTCCAACCCTGTTTGGCTAGAGTAAGCATCGTGATGCATGAACTATGCTACATGTCAACAGTATAGAAAACTCTAGCACAGAATAAACTATTGATATGGTTTTAACAGAGAACACTAAGCAACGAAGACCAAAATATGAGTTTGTTGTGCACCACACAACAAAACAACCAAGCGTTAATGATAATATCAGATAGAGCCCCATTCTCCATCTTATTGCGATAGAAATAAAAGTTTATACAATACAATTTCAAAGCTTTTTTCTAACATATAATCATGAAATAAAAATAATAATAAGAAAATAAAAAAAAAAAGTTAAAGGGACTATGACAAAACCTACTGCTCATCTGTGGCTAGGCAAAGGCAAATAAGTCATAAAAACAAATGAAAAGATTCAAGGTCTAAGTAAAATTTNGTTGTGCACCACACAACAAAACAACCAAGCGTTAATGATAATATCAGATAGAGCCCCATTCTCCATCTTATTGCGATAGAAATAAAAGTTTATACAATACAATTTCAAAGCTTTTTTCTAACATATAATCATGAAATAAAAATAATAATAAGAAAATAAAAAAAAAAAGTTAAAGGGACTATGACAAAACCTACTGCTCATCTGTGGCTAGGCAAAGGCAAATAAGTCATAAAAACAAATGAAAAGATTCAAGGTCTAAGTAAAATTTTGACTTTTAAAAATTGTTGATATGATCCTTTCAGATTCTGAAAAATGTTCCCAGAACAGGAAATAAAAAGCTCAACAAAGAAACAACAGAGTAATATTAAATTTAGAACACCAATAGCCAAAACATTGTTGACCTTCATACGAGATAACGTGCCAACCTGGGAAGAATGATGAATTAAAAAAAATATATATATATATATATCATAGCCCATGTTTATGTACTTCACGTTTTTAGGTAGTGTTAGCTGACTCAAAGTGATGACCAAGACATTGTTGATTTGAGCACAGAACCACACTGACTGGTGGTTCCAACTAGAACCACTACTACCCTAATGCCTTGTCACTTCCAAATTTAATAAGCACAAAGGATATCTCACCTTTAGTCTCTGCTTGGTGTTGCAGGGAATAAATGGAGAAGCTGCAACTTCTTCCTCCCAACCCACTGATGGAGAGAATGCATGCGTTTGCAGATACTTGGAGCTTCCTATACTATGTTTGTCGCTAGAACCACTTTTTGAATCTAAAGTCATGTCTGTCAAGCGGTTATTAGCAGGCAACACACCAAACAACTTGTGGATATCTTCATCCCTGGGCTGATCATCAAGTAAGGAACTCCTGCGAAAAGGGAAAATCAGAGGAAGTGAGACAAAAAATCAGAAATACACATTCAATTGAAAAAGGTGAAACACTAATGTCAGGTATACTCGAACATCCCGTGGATATTGATTGGCTCTATTGTGTTCTGCATAACTCCGGGAACATAATTTGGTTGTATTGTGTTCTATATAGTACTACAGGAACAAAATTGTCATCTAGAAGATGTCATAACAAAGGAAGTGAGTGTCCTAACCAAAACTAATGGCATAAGATCACTTGCAGGAGACAATAGATATAAAATACTATACAATTGTCATGCTGCCTGCAATTTTCTTTCCTGAACCCAGTCGAAGTGTATATTCTATTAGAACACACAAGCATTTTGGAGCACTTAATTTCCACGGGGTGTTTGAGTATGCTGTGTAATATATGTACAGCCTAAAACATTTGAGAAACTATATGATTCCTACTGGCGTTAAATCAAGTATCTTAATCCCAGAAGTTACGCTGTACAAGAATATGTCATCCAATTGTTCAATCCCCGCAAGTGGATCGAGCTCATAATCTGGCCGACTGCATGACAGTGAAGTCCTTTGTAGAGACTCCTCCAATGATCCTCCACAAACACTTGAACCACTATAATGATCTTTATCCTGGACGGAAACGTCCATCTCAACTTCGTTACAGAAACCATTGAAGTTCAATTCTTCTTCAGTCACATTCATATCATTATTAAAGAAATTGTTAGGCGACAATGAACTTTCAGGGGAATACGTTCCCCATTTTGACCAGATTTCTGGAGATGATGGAAGCGTGTCTGACAAATCTTGATCCTTGGGAACAACAAGATCATCCATAGCAGTTCCAGGATACCACTCCATCAGATTATCTGAACAAAAACAATCAACATATTCCATAATATCAAAAAACACTACAAATGCTGCAACAAATGAAGACCATAGATCTTAAGTTCCTCCTGTTACTTTTTCCAGTTTTTGCAGAATCGGGAATTGCCTCAATTTCAAAAGCATCAGATTCAATGTTTACTCCATAAGCAGAACATCTAAAATCCAATCAGAGTTAAATTCAAGCTAAAAAATATCCAAGGACAGAGCATTTTTCTAAAGATTCTATTAAACCATTAGAAGAGGAAACCAAAGTAATATTACTTGTGGTAACAAAATCTAGATTAATAACCAAGAATTAAACAAATAAAATCAAAATAAACAGTAACTTCTGATCAATTAACAAGCAGAATCTTACAAAACTCTTACACATAGTTTACACAACAATCAAACAAAATTCATCATCTTACCGAACCAGTTCCATAAACTCAATTATCAGGAGAAAAGGAAATTATAAAGGCATATTAAATTCCTTTTGGTGTTTTTTTTTTTTTTCCCCCATATAACAACATATAAAAACAAATCAAAGCAAATATTATTACATAAAATTCAAAATTTTAGCGAAGAAACCAAATCATGAAGCAAGAATCAACTATACATGAAGTATAACAGCGAAAAAAATAACAAAATAAATAATAAAAAACCCACCTTGTGTTTAGTTAACAGAAACAATGAAGCAGACCAGACTGTGATTCAGAAAATTGAGGCAGACCCAGATGAAAAGAACTGAGAATTTAGAAGGGTTTTTGTTATCTTGAGAAATTAAGCAGAACTTGAACTTAGTTGTTATCAATCTTCAAGATGCAAAAAGCTTTATATTCATTTATGTATTACTTTAAATATTTACAAGTAAAACTGAGTCAAAGTTTAGTGAGAGAAAGCTGCTTTCTATAAAATTTGTGGCTGAAAATTGATGCCTAAATTAGTGGTTTAAAACGCTCCATCTAAAACTGGACTCTCACGGGTCCACGTGGCGATAACGGGCCCACAGTTTGGTGAAACATGGTAAGGAGATCAAGTTGGATCATAGTCATGGATGGACCACCAAATTCAGTTTTCCCAAAATACCCCTGTGCTTATCCCAAATGAGGGGTTTAAAATTTTCCTCTTACAAGGTTTGAAGAAAATCATCACACCTAAAAATTTCGGATGGTAACAAATGCACATGAAAGCTTTATTTTTCTTAATTATATATTCTTTTTAATTTTTATTTCTTTAATTTTTTTAACTATACAAAAATTGAAGAGATAAAAAGTAAAAAAAAATTATTTTATAATGAATACTAAAGCCTTTTTAAGACAAAATTTTAGATTATTTTTATTTTGGGAAATGAAATAAAAAATTATTGTATTTTATTCATTTTTTATGTATACAATTTAATTAATTTTAGGTTTTTTAATTTTTTTGTTTATTGTATTAAATTAAACAATAATTTAACCATTAATTTCTTTTTTCTAATTATAGTTTGTTATGTAAAATTGGTTGATAAATATTTACTCTTTAAACAGTAAAATTAAAAATTAAAAAAAATGTATAATATATCATTAAACAAAGAGTATTATGATAAATTAATTAAATTTTTGGAGATATTGTTGCTATTCAAAATTCTTGTACTTTCTTCGAACCTTGAGTTTAAAGGGTTCCATGCTTTACGTGTCTAATTTGGTAATTGCGGGATGACACGTTGACGATTGTGAATTGTGAAGGCTTCTCGTATCAAGAGGTTAAAAGATTTGGTTGATATGGACACGTGGTAGGAGAGGCGTGGATTTGTTTGCCACGTGGTGAGCAGGTAGGGAGACCGACTGACAGCGCGCTAGCCAGAACAAGGGCAACATTGGAATAATGGAAAAAATGTGGCGGTTTGAAGACACTGACACACGTGTAGAGTTACAGGAAAATGAGAGCCACAAAGAAGAGGAGAATACGGGTGTTATTTTCCCAAGAAAATATGCCGCGCGTGAACTCACGTGATCTCGATCAATCATGATATGTCGACAGATTACGTATACTAGTGTGAGAATCACAACATCCATATAAACTTATCAAATGAAATAGAATTCCAACTTTATATAAATAATATTACTCATTCTTAATTAATTAAAATATGTGCAAATTATATACACTAAACATAATGATAATACTAAAAAGATAATACTAAATTAACCTCGTTTTTGGAGGCTTTTTTATTTTCATAAATAAATTATATTTTTTATTTTTTTTACAAAAAGACTTGATGACGTTGTGATGGAATATAGAATGTTGTGATTATGTCTTGATTTCATAGTGTTGTGATTACTCCTTGATTTCAAATATTATATTTCATCAATCTTTCTTATTTTATCTAATTTTGACTTTATTACAAGATTGCATTTGCATTCTTACACTAACATTTTTGTATAAATTAGACAATGTACAAGTGTACAAAATATAATACAATACAGAAAAGTTCTATGTTATTTCTTTCCTCTTTTAGGCATACTCTTGCAATCCGTGTTTCTTCCTTGCCACTCTTATCAAATTTTGACATGGTATCAAAGCATCTCAACCTAATCCAGCTTCTACTCTTCTAAATTTATTTTTTTCTGTCCCTGCAAAACCAAACAAATACTCAATTAGAATTCCTTAATCTAACCACTTTTTTTTTCCCTACAAAAACACAAAGATACTCGGTTAGAACAACCAATCTCCACAAAAAATACAAATGACAACCCATCCAAACACAAACCCTACAAAACAAAGCCCACCATTGCTGACCCAAAATGAACCCATAGTGAACCAACACTAGGCCCAACTTCGGGTGTCTCAGGCCTGGTTTCCTATCCTCCTGAAACTAGCCCAAATCCATCTGCAAATGACCCAAATTCAACTGGCCCAAACCCAACAACTGGCCCAAATCCATCCTCCACTGAGCCAAGCCCAAACCCATTTCCATCCTTGTTTGGCATACCAGGCTATAATCCGAGTCCTTCTCACCAAATGGGTACAAATCCCTACCTATTTAATTTCCAAATGCTTCCAGTCATCGGCCATCACCTAGAACCAGGGGATGTGTTGTATGCACCGACCTCAGATGGATCGAAACTTATCCTCATCAAACAACCATTAACCGGATCCGAAAACTATGCCACCTAGGCTCGCGATCTCTAGCGAGCCCTCATAACCAAGGACAAGGAAAGTTTCATTGATGGCATAGTTTCGATCTTGGATCAGCAACTACTTGTCCTCGGAAATGGCAGTCGGAATGTCGCTGACTGAAATAACTGCTGAAATGTGGACAACCATAAAAGAGATGTATGAAAAGTTAGATTTGGCTAAAATTTTTACTCTTCGGCAACAACTTGCCGACATCAACAAAAGGAATTCAACGGTCACTGCGTATTTAAACAAGTTATCTGCTGTATGGAACGAATTAGACGCACTGAAGAGACCCTTGATGGATCGCTGGCAACCCTCATTCAATTCCAAAGAATCCATGACCAAGAACGACTCGACCGTTTTCTCCCTAGCCTCAACGAGACTTTCCTTCCTTTCAGAACTCAAATTCTAACCACCTCACCATCGCCTGCTCTTCGCCGCATTTTTCACTTGGTTGTCCAAAAGGAGAGTCAACAGCAAGTTATTACAGACGGTGCTCATTTCAGCAATGTTATGGCTTTTACTGGTGCATGGACGGCGTCCTCGGCATTATTGGCTTTAGAGAAAAATTCTTTTAAGTGAGCGGCTAAGGCTTCCAAACTTTGCAAATGATGTCCTCTTATATGAAAGAACGAAGGGCCCAGATCAAGTTTTGCAATCCAACAGCTAGAAATTATTCTATCTTTTACAAGGATCCAACGGTCCTTATGCAGCCACATCACACATTAGGTCAAACGGGTCCAATGGATCAAACGGGTCTGGATCCAAAACGGGAAAAGGAAAATTGTTTTGCGAATATTGGAAGAGATGGAATCATAATCGAGATAATTGCTAGAAGTTACATGGGCGTCCCAATACGAGCAACAAGGACAAAACTAACAATTCATCTGTTCATTAGGTTACCATCGTTCCTACTAGAAACCAACTTTCAACACCTATGATCAGGACAGAACAGTACAATTAGTTACTGCAAATGCTGAATCAAATTCCACAAGCACCTATGAAATCTTACGCAAGTACATATTTTTTCCTAAATTTTATTAAAGATGACGTTTGGATAATTGATTCAGGGGCTAGTGATCATATCATTTGTAACCCAAATATTTTTCTCATCCCTATATATCCACTAAATCATCCATTTCCATTCATATGCTGAACGGAAATATTGTACCGACCACCCACATAGGAATTGTCACCTTAACTTAGTGCTTAAGAATGTTCTATTTGTTCTTGCCTTTCATTTCAATCTTATTTCCATCTCCAAAATTTTCACTAATAATAGATGCCGCTTAAAATTTATTTCTAAAACATGTGAATTTTAGGACCCTTCGACTGGGAAACTGATGGGCTTGAATAGAGTCAATAATGGTTTATACTACTAGACTCTTGATGCATTTTCCAATAATTTTCAAGGTTTATCTTCTTGTATTACAGATAATAAAACTACCCATTGTATCAATAAAAATTCTTTTATTCTCCATCAAAGACTGGGTCACAGTGCGTCTATTCCTTAAACAAAATGTCAAATGTGCCCACTTGTAAAACAGTCCCGTATAACCTTCCCACACAGCATATCTACTACTACATGTTTGTTTGCCCTAATCCATCTTGACATTTGGGGCCCTTATCACACCCCTAATCGTGATGGATCAAGATTTTCTCTGACCATTGTAGATGACTTCTCGCATGGGACATGGGTATTCCTAATGCATTCAAAAACACAAACCCTTACCCATAATAGGAATTTTTTTGTCTAGGTGGTTACTACCCAATTCCATTCGTCAGTTCAACGTGTCCAGACTAACAATGCTCATGATTTTTTTAGCAATCAATGTTCCTCACTTTTTTCGTCCCTTGGTATTCTTTACAAGAGTTCCTACATCTACACTCCTCAACAAAATGAGGTAGTTGAGCAAAAACACTAACACTTGTTAGAAGTAGCTCATGCCCTTAAACACTAAGCCAATGTTCTAGTTAAATTTTGGGGTGAATGTGTGATCACAACTACCTACCTGATCAATCGCATGTCGACCCAAGTGCTCTATGGTAAAACACCCGACAACAGTCATCTTCGTGTTTTTAGTTGTCTTTGTTACTCTGTCGTTGTTGGGTCACGTAATAAATTTGGACCTCGGGCCACTTGGTGCATTTTCATGGGATATCTCATGCTCTAAAAGGGGTTGTTGCCTATATGATCCAATTGAAAGCAGACTTCTGGTCTCTCGAGATGTTGTTTTCCATGAAAAAAAATTTCCCTTTATCAACAATGATGTTAGTTCAAGCTTGCCTTCTCAGTAGTTGTCTAAATTTCTGGAAAAAGACTTATCTGCCTCTCCACTAGGAGCCTTTTTTACCATACTTCCTGCTATTGACATCAGTTTACCTTCAACAGACTCAAACTCTCCATCACCCACTAGTCTTGCCTCTGATTCCCTAGAAGTAGAGTCGTCTCCTTCTAGTGACAACTTCACCATCAACTCTTCCAAAGTCTCTTGTGCCACCTTCGGCATTTCCTAAACAACGGTCCACCTGTATCACTCAATCTCTTATCTAGATAGCTGATTATATTTGTCCCATAATACTGGCTTCCTTAGGTACACCTTATCCCACCTCCAATTATGTCAGCTATGACTGTCTTTCTTTTACCCATAGGATATGTGTCAACCAGGTTTTTGTCGACCAAGAACCTTTAAGTTATTCTGATGTTGTTAAACATACTCACTAGTGACAAGCCGACTGATGAACTTCCTGCCCTTACTCATAATCATACATGGGACTTAGTGCCTCGTCCTCCTCACCAGAAACATATTGGCTGCAAATGTGTATACAAAATCAAACATCGTGCTGATGGTTCAGTTGAACGATATAAAGCTCGATTGGTTGCAAATGGCTTTACTTAGTGTGAAGGCTTTGATTATCAAGAGACATTGTCCCATGTTGGCAAACATGTTATTGTACGAGTTTTTCTTTTAGTTGCATCTGTTCGAGACTAGTCCTTGCATCAGTTGGGCGTTCACATTGCCTTCCTCCATGGTGATCTACATGAAGATATTTATATGGACCTTCCTCCTAGACTTTACGGTCAGGAGGAGAACACAATATTTCGTTTGTGAAAGTCTCTCTATGGTTTAAAATAGACATCTCATCAATTGAATGAAAAATTCACAAAAGCACTCATAGGCATAGGCTTTGTTCAATCTAAGCATGATTATGCATTCTTTTCTTAGCGTAAAGGTAAATTTTTCATTTCCCTCATCATTTATGTCCACGACATTCTAATCACAGGAAATGATGAAGCGGCCATAAGAACTTTAAAGGAGCACCTCAACAGACATTTTCGAATAAAGGATTTGGGAGAATCAAAATATTTATTGGGAATTGAAATTGTAAGATCTCCGGCAAGAATATCTCTCAGTTAATGCAAATATGTTCTAAAGCTTGCATCAAATTTTGGGTTATCAGCATGCAAACCAAGTGTCATTCTGGTTGAATAAAACACCAAGTCACCACTCAAGAGTATGATAGTGGGGCATTATCCTCAGAAATAGATCTACAACTAGAGGATCCTTCACATTATCAAAGACTTGTAGACCGACTTCTCTATCTCACCATGACACGACCAGACATTAACTATGCAGTATACATTCTCAGCTAATTCATGCATGGGCCAAAGCAATACCACATGGATGCAGCAATAAAGATGCTCAAATACTTGAAAGGTTGTTCTAGCCTAGGACTCCTTTACCTCAAGACCGGAATTTAGACATCACAGCATGCTACGATTCGGATTGGGCCACATGTCCAATGACGAGGAAGTCACTTACTGGTTTTTGTATAAAGCTTGGAAGAGCACTCGTCTCTTGGAAGACAAAGAAACAGCTGACGGTATTACTTTCATCAACAGAGGTTGAGTATAGAGCCATGGCCAAAACTACATGTGAGATCACCTAGATTATTGGGTTACTAGGAGATTTGGAGTTACAAGTAAGAAAACTTGTTCAATTATACTGTGATAACAAGGTTGCAAATGACATTACAACAAATCCAGTGTTTCATGAAAGAACAAAGCACATAGAGATTGATTGTCACTTTGTTAGAGGAAAAATTCAATAAGGGATAATTAAGACTTTAAACATTCATACTTCGGAACAACTAGTGGATATTTTTACAAAACTATTATGCAGCAGACAACATTCATACCTTCTTCACAAGCTTGGACTCTATGACATATACATGCCACAATCTTGGAGTCTATGACATATACAAGTCACAAGCTTGAGGGAAAGTGATGGAATATCAAATGTTGTGATTACGCCTTGATTCCAGAATGTTGTGATTACGCCTTGATTCCAAATATTACTTTTCATCAATCTTCTTGATTTTATGTAATTATGACTTTATTACAGGATTGTATTTACATTCTTACACATACATTTTTGTATAAATTGGACAATGTACAAGTATACAAAACATAATACAATATAGAAAAGTTCTCTATTATTTCTTCTCTCTTTAGGCTTACTTTGGTAATCCTTGTTTCTTCCTTGTGACTCTTGCCACTCTTATCAAACTTTGATAGGTTGTTTGATGTTTTCGTGAATTAAAAAAAATGAATGGATAAAAATTTTAAAATATTTATATGATTTATCTAATCGGTCATTCAATCAAGAAGATAAGAATTTTATACAAGAGTGATAAATTTAAAAATTTTGATAAAAATAATGATCTAAATCTTTGAAATATTTAGTACATGTACATTTATAATTGTAATGAATTTATTTTTATTTTTATTATTTTGANAGAAGATAAGAATTTTATACAAGAGTGATAAATTTAAAAATTTTGATAAAAATAATGATCTAAATCTTTGAAATATTTAGTACATGTACATTTATAATTGTAATGAATTTATTTTTATTTTTATTATTTTGACAATGTAGTAGGTGTTAGGGCCAAAAATCGTCATTGGCCCAAATAGGAAAACAGGACCACCAGCGAAGAAAAGGCCAAGCCCAGTCCTAAAGAGGCCCAAGCCAAATTAATCCCATTTGATACGAGATAAGGTCGGCCCAAACCATCTAGGCATGGGCCTCCCAGTTTCAGCTCACTTCATGGGCCTATAGGCGAGTTCAGAGCCCACGACCCCCACTGATCATTTTCTTGTTCCTGTTCAATCTGTTATTCGAAGTAACTTTCCCGTTCCTGGTCACTTTCCTACTCAAAGTGACTTTCCTGTTCAGATCACCTTCCTATTCGGATGCAAGTAAGACAGCTCACCACCGCCCTAACTTTTCTAGGGTTTGCATCAGAGTTACACTCGAACTCCTACTTCTACCAGGATTGGGAGACCAGACAGTCACTATATAAACAGAGGCCAGCCCTCTCACAAAGGACATGACATTACACTTTCACACTCGAAGTTCTTACTTGAGAGCTTCATATCACTGCCGTAGTCACAGTCCCGACTAGACTTCCGGTAACCTTTCTACTCCCTAGCCCTTACTATACTAGCTTTTTTCAGTCTTGTTGACTTAAGCGTCGGAGTGCCTACGACAAACACCACCCTGGTGTTTCCCGTTTGCTTCACGCGTTTGTTTCTCTACGTGTGCAGGTGCAGCGGATCGCTAATGGCCTCAACCTCACGGAATCAGACCCCCCTTTCGTACAGGTCGATTTTTACATCTGCAGTTTGGCGCCCACCGTGGGGCCTCTAGCAATCATTCGACTCGACGAACCCTGCTACGTAGAGCAATTTCCCATGGCTGACAACTCTGACAATGCTAATCCCGGCCTCGAGGCCAAACTGGAAGCTCTAACCGCTCTCATGCAACAGAACTCGGATAAGGTAACCGCATTGGAAGCCGAAAACAATGCAATCCAGACAGAAAACGCGTCCATCAGTCAGAAAACCAGTCTCTCAAGGAGAAGGTTAGTCAATTCTACGATCTAGAGTTCCTGCCTGGCCACGTACCCCCCAATCGGTTCCGCACCCCTGTTCCATCCATGCAACCTCTCCTTACGCCAGAGCACCGACCCTCGGTCTCCGACAGAAGGCCGCGTTTGTTAAACCCGTCTACGATTGACGATTCTATCCTGATTCATGGAGATAAAGATATGCTAGTAGAACATCATTTAGCCGATTCATCCCAGCATCAAGATCAAGACGATCCGGTGGCAGAAAGCCCTCATCCACAAAACCAGCCCAATCTAACCATCCTACCTTACATCCAGTTGACCATTCCAACACATACTCGGCTCGGCTCGGCTCATCCTCACGGGATGAACGGCCAAACTAAACAAACAACACATGGCCTCAATGTCGAGCCAACCCAGGTCGTCGCTATTATGAAGGGAATGGGATCCACTGTTAAGTGGCCAGGCAAGCTCAATCCCAAGGCAAAGAGAGACAAGACCAAATGGTGCGAGTTCCATGGCGATCATGGGCACAATACCGCAGACTGCATCGCCTTACGGCTAGAGGTCGCTGCACTTCTAAAGAGGGGACATCTCCGGGATCTGCTAACCGATAAGGGGAAGAACACCATTAGCCATAAGAGTTCAAAAGAACCATCACCACCTCCGCGAGAACCTACACCAAAAGGTTTCTATTCGCTCATCTCCGGAGGATCAGAGATCAATGGAGTAAGTTACTCATCGGCCAAGCGATACGCCAGAGCCAACCACCACCATGAAGTCCAGTCCATACATCCGATCTCGCGGTCACACACTCATCAGGTAATTCAGTTTGAAGATGAAGAGTCGGTCGCCTTGGCCGCTCCTCATCACGATGCCCTAGTCATCTCCCTACAGGTCGCCAACATCCTAGTAAAAAGAGTATTCGTAGATGGAGGCTCTTCAGCAAACATCCTATTTCTCGAAATAGTGAAGGCTATGGGATTGGAAGAGGCAAACATCAACAAGCGGCAGACGCTGCTAGTTGGTTTCAGCTCTAAGCAGAAGTATACTATCGGGGAGATCATCCTCCCTATCTACGCCGGCGGAGTTAACAAACAGACCATTTTTCTGGTAATCGACTACCCCTCGCCATACAACATCATCTTGGGCCGACCTTGGATCCACGACATACGGGCAGTCACATCTACCTTCCACCAAACGATCAGATTTCCTACCAAGTGGGGGGTACGAGAGATCAAGGGTGACCCCAAAACTTCTAGGGATTGCTACAAGACCGCCTTCAAATGCAAGGGTAACTCTTCATAGCAATTATAGTCTTATACAACCCCACCGACTGATCCGGATCAACCATCTATGGAAGGGTTGGATGAAGTACAGATACATCCGAACGATCCCGAGAGAAAGACACACATAGGGTCCCGCCTCAAGCCCGAGACAAGAGAGAAGCTAATAGAATTCCTCAAACAGAACCAAGACTGTTTCGCCTGGTCCCACGCTGATATGACCTTAGTCAGTCCGAAAGCAATGGTCCACCAGCTTAAGGTAGACCCAGATCACCCACCAGTGAAATAGAAGAGAAGGAAATTCGCACCAGAGCGTAGCTGAATTGTCAACAAAGAGGTCGAGAAGCTCGTGAGCAATAGTATGATCAAAGAGGTCCACTACCCCGAATGGTTGGCGAATGTCGTGGTCGTAAAGAAAAAGAACCGGAAATGGAGAGTATGCATCGACTTCACGGACTTAAACAAAGCCTGCCCCAAGGATTCCTTCCCGCTCCCACATATCGACATGATAGTCGATGCGACCGCAGGTCACAAACTCCTTAGTTTCATGGATGCTTTCTCAAGGTACAACCAGATCTTGATGCACCCGGACCACCAAGAGAAGACAGCCTTCATCACGGAAAGGGGAACCTATTGCTATAAGGTGATGCCATTCGGCCTGAAGAACGCCGAGGCCACCTACCAGCGGCTGGTCAACAAGATGTTCGCCGAGTACCTAAGAGACACCATGGAGGTATACATCGATGACATGCTCGTCAAGTCACTGATGGCCGAACAGCACCTCGACCACCTCAGCAAGGCATTTGCCATCCTCAGGAAGTACAACATGAAGCTAAATCTAGTCAAGTGCTGATTCGGGGTCTCGTCAGGAAAGTTCTTAGGCTACATGGTGACTCAACGAGGGATAGAAGCCAACCCCGACCAAATCAGAGCAATCCTTGGTATGTCGTCTCCAACTTGTGTCTCCAGGTCAACCGAAAAATGTCATCTCTTCTTCCATGCCCTCAAGAAGTCCAAGAAGTTCGAGTGGACCGCCTCTTGCGAAGAAGCCTTGCAACAGCTGAAAAGGTACCTAACCTCCCCTCCGCTCCTCTCCTCTCCAAACTTGTGGACGGGGAGAAGCTCTACTCTTACCTAGTGGTCTCAAAGACAGCTATCTCAGCAGCACTAGTTCGGGAAGAAGAAACGAGGCAGTTGCTGGTCTACCATGCAAGCAAGTCACTCATTGACGCAGAAACGCGATACAGTTAGTTGGAAAAGTTAGCTCTCGCCCTCATCCATGCATCCAGGAAGATCAGACCGTACTTTCAGTGTCACTCAATAGTTGTACTCACCTCCTTCCCACTCAAGAAGATACTGCACAAATCGGAACTATCAGGCCGACTCCTGCAGTGGACAGTAGAGCTCAGTGAGTTTGACATATCATACCAGCCTCGCACCGCCGTCAAATCCCAGGCCTTGGCCGACTTCATTACTGATTTCACCCCGAATACCACCACCCAAGCATAAAGTGAGTTATTATGCATGAACGGCGGATCACCATCCAAGTGGACCCTCTTAGTGGACGGCTCGAGTAACATAAATGGAAGCAGACTTGGAGTGGTACTGGTCGCGCCAGAAGGAGACATCATCCAAAGGGCAATACGATGTGGGTTCAAGTGCACGAACAACGAAGCCGAATATGAAGCCTTCATAGCTGGACTTTCCTTAGCCAAAGAAATTGGAGCAAAGAAACTAGAAGTGAAATCTGACTCCCAGCTCGTGGTCAATCAACTATAAGGCACATATCAAGCACGCGACTCGAAGATGACATCCTACTTGAGCATGGTCAAGGAGCTGCAGGCACAATTCGATGAGTTCTCCATCATCTAAATCCCCAGAGCAGAGAACTCCCACGCTGATGCTCTTGCCAATCTCGGCTCAGCCCTCAAATGCTCTTCCCCCTCGTCCATCCCTCTATTATTCATGCAGTGGCCTGCCAACTGGGAGGGACAATAACCAAACAAGCCGCCCGAGGAAGCCATGGGAGTTGAACTAGCCGACTGTTGGATGACTCCGATAGTGAGATACTTGGAGCATGACGAACTCCCTGTTGACAAGAACGAGGCACGACGACTAAAAACAAGAGCCGCCAGATTCACTATACATGAGGGCCAACTTCTTAGAAAATCATTCTCGGGCCCCTACCTCAAGTGCACAAGCCCAGAGGAGGCCTAACGTGTCCTTGCTAAGTTACATGAAGGCGAATGTGAAAACCATGCTGGGGGACGTAGCCTTGCATACCGAGTGATCACTGCTGGATATTACTGGCCAACCATGCTCGTTGATTCGGCCGCCTATGTGAAAAAGTGCGACAGTTGTCAGAGGTTTGCTCAATCTCACACCTCCCACCAGAGCGACTACATTTCATCCTCACACCCTGGCCCTTTATGAAGTGGGGAATGGACATCGTGGGAAAACTACCTACTGCACCTGGACAACGAGTCTTCATGTTAGCTATGACAGACTACTTTACGAAGTGGATTGAAGCCGAAGCCTTCGCACAAGTCAAAGATTGAGAGGTAAAAACCTTCATCTGGAAGAATGTCATCTGCAGGTTCGGGATACCGAAGGAGATCGTCACCGACAATGGATCCCAGTTCATCAGCTCGGGCTTTAGGGATTTCTGTGACATGTGGAGGATAAAGTTGAGCTTCTCAACCCCCCGCAACCCCTAGTCTAACAGCTAGGCCGAGTCGTCAAACAAGACCATCATTCAAACACTAAAGAATCGGTTACAGAAAGCCAAGAGTGCATGGACAGATGAGCTACCCGGAGTCCTCTGGTCATACCGAACCACGGCTCGCTCGTCAACGGGCGAGACCCCATTCTCCCTCACATACGGTTCGATAGCAGTAATCCCAGTCGAAGTGTCAATCCCGTCCACCAGTCTCCAATGAGCGGACGAGGAATCAAACGACCAGAACCTTTGCCAAAACTTGGACACCGTCGACGAGCTACACGAACGGGCGAGCGTCCGTAACGCATTCTATCAACAATAGGCCGCCCAACATTACAACCCGCAACGTGAGGATCCAGACTTTCAAGATAGGCGACTGGGTCCTCCGCAAGGTCTTTCAAAACACTAAGGAGGTCAACTCTGGCAAACTCGGCCCAACTTGGGAAGGTCCATACAAGATAACTAAAGAAGCAGGGAAGGGTGCCTACAAACTCCAGACCCCCGAGGGCAAAGACATCAGTAATAGTTGGAATGCCGTTCACCTAAAGCGCTACTACTTCTAGGTGAACTTAATCTTTTTTCTATTTTTTCCTTGTTTATTTTTAAAGAGATGAGTGGGCATATCCACCTCCTCTTAGACAGTCGGCCTCATGGCCAAATATTAATAAAGTAGTATTAAGAAATCTTACATCTCCAAATCGACTCCGGTTGATCGATTATTGTTTACACCTTCAAATCGACCCTGTCTGATCCACGATTTCGAACCTTCGAATCGAACCAGTTCGGTTCACGAAAACACCTTTGAATCGACCCAACTCGGTTCAACACCTTCGAATTGACCCTGTTTGGTTGATGAAAACACCTTCGAATTGACCCCGTTTGGCTCACGAAAACACCTTCAAATCGACCCCGTTCAGGTCACGAAAACACCTTCGAATCGACCCAGTTCGGTTCACGAAAACACCTTCGAATCGACCCCGATCGGTTCACGAAAACATCTTTAAATCGACCTCGCTCGGTTTACAGGATCATCTTTGATCGGCCCAGCCCGATCCACGAAGAGACGCCGTCAAATCAGCTTAGCCCGACCTATGATTCGCACCTTCGAGTCGGACCCGTCCGACCTAAAAACTCACACCTCCAGGTTGACTTCATCCAATCGAAGACTTAATACTCGGTCGGCCAAACCGAATGAATGGTTCCTACATCGGCAATAAGCGAAACGCCAACCTAGCCCAACATAAGGCTTACATGCCTTAGCCGCTAGGTCACACTAAAGTAACAAACACAACCTGGTGCATCTACAAGAAAAGAAACAATGAACTCATTCATCCATAAAGAAAGCATCAGAAGTTAGAACAATCGAGTATAATAACAGATGACCTCAAACGACTCAGTTCAAAATACAAAAGAACGGCACACGCTAAGAAAAAGGGCGTCGCAGGCCCCAAAATACAGGAAAAAACTAGGTTAACTATCCTCAGTACGAGTCGCCTCCTCCATCTCCGATCAGTCATAATGTCTGCACCTCCAGCACCCATCCTAGTAGCCCGGTCGCTCACATCCCCAACATCTGACGGCCCTGACTGACTAGTAAGGTCAGGCATCTATTCCTCGTCCCGCAAACCCAGATGACCGGCTCCCTCTTCCAACAACTCCCGCATGAGCTGGATGTCTTCATCTGGATCCCAGTAAGAAGTCTTCCCTTCCTTGAACTCAAGCATGAACTCACCACGGGCCTTGATGATAGCGTCATCAGCAATGGAAATACACTACTTCCTCAAAGACTTAATCTCTGCAGTCTTCTCGACCAACTCACGCCTCAACTGCTCCAACTCACACTCGCTATCCCTCAGACGCTGCTGAAACTCTTGCTCGGCCTTCCGGGCTGCCGCCTCCTTTTGGCTCAGGCTAGTGTTGGCCTTGGATACATCCTGTATCCATTTTTCCTTGCGCCACGACAAACTTCCTCAGATGAAGACTGCTAGTGAGTACCTACACAACAAAACATTGCCATCAGAGCGAGATTCAGAAACAAAATCATCGAATACTACTATCATACCTGAACGGCGTGGGCTACCCCCCAATCAGCCGCAGCAACTGCACCCATCTGGTTAAGGCGCACCTCGTCCGCCGGGAACAAAAATGAGTTGGCCAGCTTATTCATGGTAGTCGCATCAGAGTAAGTCGACGCATTAGCCAGAATCGTGATGGTAATCGTCCCGGCCTCTTCATCCATGACTGCGGTCTAGGACGACCCAGCTCCAACTGTAGGCTACTGACTCAACGACATCGCTAACACA